TTGCACAGTTGATGACAATCCTCACCACCACGTTCGGCCAGTGCCACTTGGCCCTCAACTGATCGACGGGCAAGACGGAGGGCTTGCTGAAGTACCGCGGGACTGGCGCCACTTTCGCTCGCGAGCCTAGGCGTCGAGAGGACGGGGACCCTGCCATCTGGGTCCCAGAGGTCAAGAAATGGCTGCTGCTGGTGGACGTGCACTGCCAGCTCGGCACGATGCTCTTCGCGGCGGGCGAGTCCTTCGCCAACGTGCGCCGGCGCACGCTGATGGCCATGACCGCGTACACTCCGATCGTGTTCAAGGTTTTCGGCAGCATTTTGATCCCAGAACGGTACAAGCTGAGATTCCTGAAGTCCCTGGTGCTGTCTCGCTTTTTCTTCGGCCTCCACATCGCTTGCATGCCGGTGGCGCACCTGTGTCGTCTGAATGCAGTCTACATGCGCGGGCTACGGAGCATCGCAGGCGACTGTCGATTCAAACCTGCTGTGCAGTGGTCTAACCACGCAGTGCGCGAGCGGCTGAACGTGCCCTTCCTCGACTGCATGCTCATGGTCATGCGCCTGCGGTATCTCCAGCGGCTGGTGCTCCTGCGCCCTCAGGACCCGGTGGCGGTGCTTCACTGGGCAACAGCTATCTTGGGTACGGCTCCTGGCTGCGGATTGCGAGTTTCTGCGATGCCAGGGGCTGGTGTCTCGGGCGGTGCCGCGCTTCCTCGACGCTCCGTTCCAGTTGGCCGCAATTGGCCGACCGCAAGAAGTGGGCCACCGCGGTGGGCAGCGCATATTTCTTCGATTCCTGTCTGGACCGTGAGGGGGTGACTTCCCTAACTTCGCCTCTCACTGTGCAGATGTGTAGCGCTCGCCTCGCCCCAGCGCTCGCCGTGCGAGTCATGAGCGGCGCATCGTGCACACGGTAACCATGAAGGCCAACGCCTAACTCCACAGCACCGTTTGCCCGTGCAGCCAGGTGGACTTTTGGCAGAAGATCTGGCTGCTCGCGCACTGGTCGGACTCCCGGCGTCCGCACTGTTCGGCCTGGGTGCAGGCGCATGTTGCCCCCCTGACGGCTAACTGGCAAGCGGAGATAAATAAAGAGCTCCGAGCCACCCGACGAGCCGGACAGCGCGCCAGACGGACCCACGTTGTGTGCCACCTGCCGGCGAGGAGGGCCGATGGACGCACCATCTTCTCCTAGAGTGACAGTGGCCACACGCGCCACAATAGACTCCACTCGTAGCCACCTGTGCTGCTTGACGTTTGGTTTGCGCCGTCTGCGCAGCCAGATGCCCGTCATTCTCTGTTTTCTGTATAGTTGTCCCATCGTTATTGAGACTCACATCCTTCGCAGAAGAACGATGCATAAACATATACATCTATATATATATATATAACATATAGATTAGAAAGAATTACATTACGATTGGAAAGAAGGGAGGGGGGGAGAGAGGGAGGGACGGAAAGGAGAGAGAGAGAGAGAGATATATATATATATATATATATATATATATATATATATATATCCTGGTGGCCTGCTGTCCATCCCGCCACCTCGCCCGGGCCGTGGGCGAAATGCTTTTAAGATAGTTCTTTGTGTTTGGGGGGGGTCCTTCTTGGGGGGCGTCGTGTGGGCATTGTGAATGTTTTTGCCGCGTCAGAGGCATTTCTGACATCGTCATGGGGCTTTGTGGTGTCCTCCTGTTTTGAGGAGGCTTGCTGAAAGTGCACGTTTCCCCTGCGGAATGTGAATGATGTTTTTTGCTTGGGGTCCAGGCCCTTCAGACCACAAACCCTCGACCCAAACCTTCTACCTCGCAGAGCTGCATGAGCCGTGGGGCACTCCGCTGTGTGCCGAAGGCACGGTGGCAGTACATACATGTATATATATAGAGAGAGAGACGATAAACACGTGCAAGTATATGTACACGTATATGTATACACATACATGCAAACATACATGCATGCATACATACATACGTACATGCACACATACGTACCCAGACATGCATGCGTGCGTGCGTGCGTGCGTGCGTGCGTACATACATACATACATACATACATACATACATACATACATACATGCATGCATGCATACATACATAAATGCATACATACATACAAACAAACATACATACACACAAATACACACATAGAGAAAGAACAAGAGAGAGAGAGAGGAAGTCAGAGGGTAAGCCAAAAGGCTAGAGTGTAAAAGGACGGAGGAAGGGAGAGGAGGAAGAGAGCCGCATATCATGTATGAGAGAGGGAGAGAGACAGAGACAGAGAGGCAGAGAGAGTCAGAGAGAGAGAGAGACACAGATACAGAGACGAGAGAGGTAGGAGAGAGATGATGTTGAAAGCGCGGAGGTAGGGTGCGCCGTGACTGGGCCTATGAGAAAACGAGAAAGCCAGGCTCCAGAGCAGCAGCTGGACGCCCTCCGCCTGCTGCCCACGACGCGCCTCGACGCGGCTGGCGTCCGGCTCCTCGACGCCCTGCACGGGTTCTCGCGTCCGGAGGGGCCCTGCAGAAAGCTCGGCGGCGAAGTCCGAACCCTACTCTCTCGCCGACCCACGAATTGAGGTTCGAGATTTTCGGCGTTTTCGTTGGCTCTCGGCTGCTTTCCAGCCTCGGGATGCCTTCCGCGCCTACGCCTCGCCGAGGGCGGTGTTCCGGGAGCGCCCGGATCGTCCCGAACGGCCGCCAGAGGCCCGAGATATAACCCGAAAGCCACCAGGGGGCCAGCACCCTCGCCGATCAACGATTCGGGAAACTCGATGGGCGGGGTGGGCAGGGCTCGGAATTCGTAGAACACGTGGCGAAATCCGAGCCCTGCCCCCCGCTCCCATCGTTTCAGGAAAAACGCATCGATGCAGAAGAAACGATGGTTGGCAGGGGTAGGGTTCGGATGTCGCCACGCAAAGAGGAAGCCGAGCACGCGCATGAGGAGGGCCAAGATTTGAGGGCACTTTTTGGCCGCTTGGGGCCTTCTGGGGACCGTTGGGGACAAGCCCCAGATGACCCAGATGTGGGCACCGTGAGTATCACGACTGGGTTTTTCGCCCCGCCTCGGGCCTTGGGACCCTCACAGATCGATCTGGTTCGAGAAGAGCCGCAGAAAGATGGAGTCGATCCTCCTCGATCCTCCTCGGTCCTCCCCGATCCTCCTCGATCCTCCTCGGTCCCCCCCCGATCCTCCACGACACTCCTCGGTCCTCCTCGGCCCTCCCCGATCCTCCTCGACCCTCAAGCCTCAGGCCTTTCCCGATCCTCCTGGAGTCGACAGTTTCAGCGCAAATGTTTCACGCCGTGCTCTTTGTTTCGGTGGAGATTTTGCCTGAGCGGAGGGGGGGAACCCCCCCGAGTCGGGGTAGCGCGTCCTGCGGACGGGCCCTTGGCGGCCTCTGGCATTCAGCTGGAGAGGGAGGAGCAGCAGGAGGAGGAGCAGAACGACGACGAACACGAGCGACAACGAGGACCGATGACAACGACGACGACGACGACGACGACGACGACGACGACGACGACGACGACGGAGGAGCAGCAGGAGGAGGAGCAGGACGACGACGACCAGCGACTTTCCGAGACGACAACGAACAACGGCGATGAACGACGAACGACAAGCGACGACGACGACGACGACGACGACGACGACGACGAGACAGAGCAGCGGCAGCGGCCACCCGCGACAGCGGCCGGCACCCGGGGGGGGGGGGAAGGGGGGGCGGAGCACAGGAGCAGCCCAAGCCCGACGGCGCCCCCGGCGCGGAGCGGAAGGGCGGCGAGGACCGCCTGCGCCCCCGTCCTTCTCCTGCCGCCTCCTGCCGCTCCTGGGCTGCGGGGCTACACATGTCGCCGCGCCGTCTGTTCCGACGCGAGGCCTCCCGTCTTGGGGAGGGCGCTTTGGCCACCAGAGAAGACACCGCCTCGGGCACGGCGGCTTTGCCGTGGGTTTGCCGCGGTGCCGGCTTCGTTCAAAAGGGACCTACCTCCCTTTAGTAAACCACCCTTTGGTGAAAGCGGCCTGGGACCGAAACCGACGGACCTGGACCCGCAAAAATGACGGCCGCGACGCCCTCTCGCGAACCGAAAACGGCCAATTCGCTAATCGACGTGTCAGGGTAGGAGATCGATCAACCTCCGAGGGAGCGGGACGCAGGGTTTGCCGTGGGTTTGCCGTGGCGTCGGCGTCGTCCACCTTGGGCGCGTCGAGAACACACGGCGCGGCGACATATAGTTCTGCACCCTCATGGCTGTCGAGGTCGTGCACCTTGTTTTCGCGGAGGGACGACCCGATCCGCTCGTCCTGCTCCTCCTCCTCCTCCTTCTCCTCATCCTCCTCCTCTTCCTCCTCCTCCTCATCATGCTCCTCCTCTCTTCCCCCACTGTGCAGCGCGATTGACGACAGCATGTTTGATGGGGTCCTTGCTGGAAGCCAAAACGACCACTGTGCAGACCAGGTCGGCGACAATAGAACATGTACTGCTTCGATGTGCCCGTCCTCGTCCTGCTCCTTCTCGTCTTCGTCGAGTCCGAGTGGGCCTAGTTCTGGTTCCTCCTCTGATGAACGGAGCAGCAGCTCTGAGAGTAGTTATGGTTCTGAGTTCGATGCAGCTAAACTTCAGCAGTGGCCCGTGTGCCAGACTTCGTGACTTCAAGGGTATGTTGTATAAGGCAGTTCAGAAAACCATGAAGAGGAGGGAGTTGCAAGGCCCTGGGTCCATGGCGAATGAGGTTTCCAAGATGCTTGCCCTAGTTCGGGGACACCTTCGTCGGGACTGGCCTGTGGTTCGGAGAGCGGTTCGGGCCTAGGGAGCACTACGACCTCCAGGTCTGGCAGTGGTTCCGCCCCGATGAATTTCACACTGGACGAGGAAGCGTAAGTTCAAGCGGATTCAAACCTGTCAGGGCACATAAGGGACAGGAAGATGCTACGTTTGAAGGAGCTCGGGCTCGCCTGGGCATATTCGCGCAGATATGTCATCCACTTCTGTGGTTCACGAGGCTGGTGGGGCCATCCACGGATCCAGGCGAGTGCACCAAGTGCTTGGCTCGACACCAGGGACATGTCGCCAGCAGGACCATGCAGCCTTTGAGCTATATGCCCCGTTGATCTAAAAGGCGCCCGAGTGGATCCAGCGGTTCCTGAAGAGGCCCATCTTCGCCGACATGACGATTAGGTTTCGAGACTCCAGCCTTGGCCCCGACATGATCCCCTAAAGCGCGTACCAGAAGGCGGGTGAGCTTCCCATTCGCACTAGTTTCGAACTTTCTGAACATCTTGCGAACGGTGGAGAGCCCACCCAGGACTTCAACGTGGGCCTCTGGGCATTCCTCCCCAAAGGTGTCCCTGATCCTCAACACCCTGAAGATGCCAGTTCTCCTGGAAATACCTGACCACTCACTTTTAATGGATACAAGCAGCAAGATGATCGTTGCCGCGATGACCCGCCTTTTGGCCGATTGTGGTCAGGTCACAATTGACCGGATCCAAAAATTGTTCGTCCTTGGCCGACATATGCTGGACCATATTATATTCCTGGACACCATGTTATGGAAGGTCGTAGAATACCTGCAGGATGCGGGTGCGTGCTTCTTGAATTGAACCAAGCCCCCCTGAGCATGTCGCATACATGGATGTTGTAATTTCTTGCTTGAGAGGATGGAGCTGCCCGAATGGTTCGCAGGTGTGGTGGAGATGTTGCATTCAGAATCGGCGGCGCGCATCCGCTTTCGTGGGTCTGAACCGGTACGGGTGCAGCTCGAGCGAGGTATTCGGCAGGCGGGTAGTCTCTTTGCATCGCGCGTCGACCCTATCTTGGGTTTTTTCCCAACCTTCCTGTGGTTTTGGGTCCTCGTTTTGAAGAGACAGTGCCCCGCGTCACTCCTCCTCTCCTCTCCTCCCCCCCCCTCCTCCCTCCTCCAAGAGGAGCGCCGCCCTCTGTCCTCTCCTCTTCCTCTCCATTTCGGCACACCCATCACACGTTTCGTGGCCCCACAGAGCCCCACCGAAGGCCCCAATGGCTGCGCTCGCATGCGCCAACCGCACCCATGTCGGCACACCCCTCACACGTTTCGTGGCCCCACGGGGAGCTCCATCGAAGGCCCCAGTGGCTGCGATCGCATGCGCCCACCGCACCCATTTCGGCAAACCCCTCACACGTTTGGTGGCCCCACAGGGAGCTCCACCGAAGGCCCCAGTGGCTGCGTTCGCACGCGCCCACTGCACCCATGTCGGTACATTCCTCACACGTTTCGTGGTCCCCACAGGGAGCTCCACCGAAGGCCCCAGTGGCTGCGTTCGCATGCGCCCACCGCACCGATTTCGGCACACCCTTCACAGGTTTCGGGGCCCACAGGGAGCTCCACCGAAGGCCACAATGGCTGCGTCCGCATGCGCCCACTGCACCAATTTCGGCACACCCCTCACACGTTTCGTGGCCCCACAGGGAGCCCCACCGAAGGCCCTTGTGGCTGCGTTCGCATGCGCCCACCGCATCCATTTCGGCACACGTCTCACGCGTTTCGTGGCCCCACAGGGATCTCCACCGAAGACCACAGGGGCTGCGTTCGCATGAGCCCACCGCACCGATTTCGGCACACCACTCACACGTTTCGTGGCCCCACAGGGAGTTCCAACGAAGGCCCCAGTGGCTGCGTTCGCATGCGCCCACCGCACCCGTGTTGGCACACCCCTCACACGTTTCGTGGCCCAACGGGGAGCTCCACCGAAGGCCCCAGTGGCTGCGCTCGCATGCGCCCACCGCACCGATTTCGGCACACCTCTCACACGTTTGGTGGCCCCACAGGGAGTTCCACCGAAGGCCCCAGTGGCTGCGTTCGCATGCACCCACCGCACCCGTGTCGGCACACCCCTCACACGTTTCGTGGACCCACAGGGAGCTCCACCGAAGGCCACAATTGCTGCGTTCGCATGCGTCCACCGCACCCATGCCGGCACACTCTTCACACGCTTCGTGGCCCCACAGGGAGCTCCACCGAAGGCCCCAGTGGCTGCGATCGCTTGCGCCCACCGCACCCATGTCGGCACACCCCTCACACGTTTCGTGGCCCCACAGGGAGTTCCACCGAAGGCCTTGGTGGCTACATTCGCTTGCGCCCACCGCACCGATTTCGGCACACCCCTCACAGGTTTCGGGGCCCCACAGGGAGCCCCACCGCCCCAGTGGCTGCGTTCGCATGCGCCCATCGCACCCATTTCGGCACACCCCTCACACGTTCCGTGGCCCCACAGGGAGCCCCACCGAAGGCCCCAGTGGCTGCGTTCCAATGCGCCCACAGCAGCAATGTCGGCACACCCCTTGCACGTTTCGTGGCCCCACAGGGAGCTCCACCGAAGGCCCTGGCACAGCCCTCATGCGTTTCGTGGCCCCTTAGGGATCGCTACCGAAGAAGATATTCACGCTTGCGGCACGCACGGCTGCAGATGGCTGGGTCTTTCGCCAGGATAATTCAATGCCCAAGTCGTGCATCCGAAGGCCGACCTCACTGGATTCGCGAGCGGTTTCGCTTTTGTTCCTACCAACATTTTCCGACCTCCCACGCAAGGTGAAGCTGCTGGTCCAGAGTTCGGGAGCATTTGGCATGTTCATGAATGTGGCTAAGACCGTCATCGTTCTCCCTAGTGGGCTAAATCTCTCGGAAGTCAGGAGGAGGTTCAGGTACCAGGGCATGAACGCCAGAGGCTTCCAGGTTCAGACTTCTGGGACATAGCTGGGTATCGTGGTGGGGGCGGATGGGCACTTGACCTCTTGGGCGGCTCCTTGCAGGCCCCTGGAGGCTCGCACGTCTGCACTGAAAGGGCTCCAGCAGAACCTCCCTCAGTACGTCTTAGGCTGCAGCAGGTACTGCTTCTCAGTGTTGGGGTTCGTGGTTCAGATGTACCCGCCCAGCAAGGACGCTGCAAGAGTCGAGCGCAGGTACATCCAGAGGTTGACGCCGACGCCCAACAACTCGATCTCGTGTGTTATGTTGTTCCGTCTCCGAAGCTTCGGGTACCACTGCAATGTTATATCTTTGTACTTGATGGCCAAGGTTGCCGCCTTCCGCGCTTCTCAGGAGAACGCTGTTTCCCGTGAGCTCTTGGAGGTGTATGATGAGCTGGTGGAATGTGGAGATGCGTCTGTAATTCACGGATGGAACCGCTGTTTGTGAATTCCATGTCCATGCATCTTCGGAGGACGATGAGGTATCTCGAGACTGTTCCTGAACAATTGGCTGACCCCTGGGCCGCTGGATTCCAAGGGAAAGTGATTCGCGTCTTGCACGCATCGTCAGATGTGAGCCCTGTGCACCTGCTGCTCCCTAGGCCGAGGTACTGAATACCCGAGCTGCCCTTGAGCATTGCGCAGCTCACGTTCATCCTCCTACAGTTCGTGGCCAGTTGGCTTGGTTGCATGTGGGGATGGCAAAGCATGGGTGGAGATTACGTGGTTTGCCCGTTGATCGCGCCCATAGTGAAAGCCCTCCTCCCCCTCTTGAATCCTGGCTGGGGTGGCGGTCCGTCTTTCGAGCAGATGATCCGAAGATGCATTCCGATCTCTGCCAGTAGGGAGCTGTGTTATGCAGTGTTTGCCTTTGATTTGTCGCCTGGCACTCAGCAGAGCATGAGAGGCAGACCTCCCTGGGGCCACAGCCGTTGAGTGTATCATAAGAGCACGGGCCCGTGCTATGTCCAGGCTGAAGACGGATGTGCGGGGGCTCTACACGGGAGCCAACCGCTTGGGGTAGAGTGGGACATCGGACCCTTCCCGCTCCTCGCTGCC